CCCTAAACCGAAGGTTCAGGGGTTTAGGGTAAGGGTTCTGGCTTTGGGGCATACTTGCACGCTTCATGTACACTTCTAAGTGGAGTTGTTTCGGGTTTAGGGTTTGGGGTTGAGGGTTTAGGGTTCAGGGAATGGAACCACAACCCAATTCAGGCTTAGGGGGCATCTTCCTGGACCGTGAGAGGGTAAAAAGGCTTTACGTTCCACCACTCTACGCCCTCAACCCCAAGTCCTGAAATCCTGAACTCTATGGCCCTAAACCCTAAACTTCTGGGATCCCAAACCCTAAACCCTAAGCCCAAGCCCTAAACCCTAAGCCCTAAACCTTAAACCCTATACCCTACACCCCACGAAATAATCCCCCCACTTCTCACTTCTAGTTAAAGGTTCGTGGGTGGCTATAATTGGGACGACAAGTAGGATACCTAGAGACTCCAATATCCCTTATTAGGGATCCTACTATAATTTAAGGTATATTCCTTCATTAAGGGATATTGGAATCTTTGGGTAACTCAAGATATGGCCTGATAAACTCTAAACCCTGAACCCTGAACCCTAAAGCCTAAACCCTAAAGCCTAAACCCTAAACCCTAAACCCTAAACCCTAAACCCTAAAACCCTAAACCCTAAACCCTAGACCCTAAACCCTAAACCCTAAACCCTCTTAACACCTCTGAACATACTCCTTAAATCTGATCCTCTTAAGCCCAAGAAGGGAACATACAGAAACATCCCAAGAGCCTACCTAGATAACTACCCGGACTGAATCTCCAAGTATGGTGTAGGGTTTAGGGTTTAGGGTTTAGAGTTTAGGGTTTAGGGCTTAGGGTTTAGGAGCTTGTTCCGCCAAGCAGTCCTCGGGTCCCCAGCGCGATCCAGCGCGTTGAGGAGGACGTTGTAGCCTGGCTTAGGGGCGTGCAGGGCTTTCAAGGCCGAGGGTTCAGGGTTCAGGGTTCAGGGTTCAGGGTTCAGGGTTCAGGGTTCAGGGTTCAGGGTTCAGGGTTCAGGGTTCAGGGTTCAGGGTTCATATAGGGTTTAGGGCTTTTAGGGTCTTTGGGGCCTTTAGCGCGTTTCGGACTTCTAGGGCCTAGGGTGTTTAGAGCCTTTAGGGTGTTTGGGCTTGACGATGGTCAGTTGAGCGACGGTTTCAGTGCGGACCCTTTGGAAGAGCCCTTTGTCCCGGGAACCGAGCTCGGGAGGAGACATCGTCTTCGCACCCTAAGCCATAAGCCCTAAACCCTAAACCCTAAGCCCCAACACCCTAAACCCTGAACTTCTAAACCCCATACACAGAGGACGGAGAGGCCTTGGCAAAAGACTGCGAGGCTCAGAAGAATCGGAGGTTTACTCCGAAGCCCTCTTCAAGGACTCTGTCATGAAAAAGAGTGTCAAAGAATCTGGCTTATGGGTTTCAGGTGGTTTAGGGTTGAAGGTTCAAGGGTGTAAGGGCTTAGGGGTTTTACGGCTCAGGGGTTAAGGGCTTCAGGTAGGGTTAAGGGCTTAGGGGCTTAAGGGGGTTTAGGGTTTATAGAAGGGCTTCGGGTACATGTCGGCCCAGCACTCAGTTTTTAACGAGCCTGCAGACAGCTGTCTCCACTTGGAGGTTCATGGTACTTCTGACCCCAATTGCACCTGTACTTGTAGTCCACTTATAAGGGTCTTAAGTGCCTGAGCATGGTTGAAATTGGGCTAGAAGTCAGTGACATGAACCTAGCTTGTAAGCCCGAAGCCGAAATCACGAGTGAGTTAGGATTTGCTTCGAATTATGCTTAGTCGGGTTTAGGGTTTAGGCCGTAGGGTTCAGGGTTTTGGGTTTAGGGTTTAGCACGGGCTACATTGTCATGCAACCCGCAGAAACGCGACATTGAGTTGAAAGTGGATAGTTCCCCTCCCACAAAAACGGAAAAGAGGTCCTGAGCACTGGTGGGCATAGCGGTCGTAGTGCCTCGCGACCTTCGCGCGGAAGCCTTCAGAGGACTGTTGCAAGTTGGCCGTCAACTTCTTCCTCTCGGTTGTTATACGCCATTTCTTCACCGAGACCGTTTTGTTAAAATCGGTGATCACCTTGTTGAGCAACTCGCGTCGTGTTGCGCGCCTGCCCAAGCAGGCAGCCAATGCCTGGGACTGCCCCGTCCCAAAGTTGCTCGACGAGTATCCTGGCCCACCCACTGTCATGGAGCGAGGACCGTCGAACGCAGGTGTAGATTCGCCACCACACACCAGGGGTCTTGGGGTCGGGAGATTCAGGATGTTAGGGCTTTAGGGCTTGAGGGCCTTAGGGCTGTATGGTGTAGGTTTTATGGGCTTGGGTTTAGGGAGGGCCCCAAACCCCTTGCGAGGAATGTAGGGGGGATAGGGGCGTGTATAAACCCCAAATCCTAACACCAAATTTTCACATCCAAATAAATAAATAAATATATATATATATATATATATATATATATAGATACTCTTTGCTTTTTTTTTTTTTTTTTTTTTTTTTTTTTTTTTTTTTTTTTTTTTTGGGGGGGGGGGGGAGCCCTCTTGCGGAAACAGCCCTGATCCCCTAAACCCTGCTTGGAGGTTGGTTCAGGGTACTTATAGGCCATTCTAACTGAGGGATTTGGGGGTTTAGAGCTTTGGGTGTAGGGTTTAGGGTTTCGGGTTTGCACAACCCGACACCCAAACTCCCAACCCCCAACCCCTGAACCCTGAGGCGTGGACTGATAATGTCCGGCGAACAAGCAGCAGCTCTCTCCACCATCTCCTTCTGGGGTAGGAGGGTTTAGGGTTAGGGTTTAGGGTTTAGGGTGTAGGGTGTAGGGTTTAGGGTTTAGGGTTTAGGGTTCAGGGTTCAGGGTTCAGGGTTCAGGGTTCAGGGTTCAGGGTTCAGGGTTCAGGGTTCAGGGTTTAGGGTTTAGGGTTTAGGGTTTAGGGTTTAGGGTTTAGGGTTTAGGGTTTAGGGTTTAGGGTTTAGGGCGGACAGGCTTCTGGAGCCTCTTAGGGTAGTTACATGGTCCTAAACATGGGCCACAACTTCAGGAACCTGTATCTACTTCTGCACCCTAGAAAACCCAAGGCCCCCATACTAGATTTAAAGGAGGTACGGGGCCATACTAGCCCTAAACCCTAGACCCTAAACCCTAAACCCTAAACCCTGAACCTAAACCCTAAACCCTAAACCCTAAACCCTAAACCCTAAACCCTGGAAGCTTCAGGTGTGGAGATGCAGGTCGCAGCTTCGGGGTCTATAAATAATACTACCTTGCACTTTTAAGGTGGTACGCGAGGGTTTGGGGGCCCTAAACCCTAAACCCTAAACCCTAAACCCTAAACCCTAAACCCTAAACCCTAAACCCTAAACCCTAAACCCTAAACCCTAAACCCTAAACCGTGGGTTTTTGGGGGCCCTTGCTAAAGAGACCCTCTAAGGGGCCATACTAGGAGTCCATTGAAGGGAACCTCTTCGGAATACATCCTTAGGGGTCCGAGTGTGGCTTCCTTGATAAACCCTGAACCATCTGGAAGTGATACTCGCTATATATATATATATATATATATATATACATATATATATGCTATATATATATACTATATATATATATATATATATATAGCATATATATATATATATGTATATATATATATATATATATGGGTGGTTGTCAAAATTATGGTCCCTTTTTGGATCCCTATTATAATACGGCACCTAATATTTAGGGCACCGCAAAAGGGATCATAATTTTGACAACCACCCATATATATGTCTTGTTATATCCATACAGGGTTCTTAAGGGAGGGGGGTTCGGGGGTTCAGGGGTTCATGGGGGGTCGGTACCTAGCAATGCTTAGGGAAGCTTAGGAAGCCTTGTGAGGAGCATGAGGGAACCTTGGGTTACCCTACAACTATAACTGCACGGAGTCTGGAAAAAGCGAAGACAGTTCCGTGAGCCTGGGGCTTCTTTTCTTGGGGGCACCAAGCTATAGGGTGTAGGGCTTAGGGCTTACGGTTTAGGACGTATTGCTTGGAGCTGAGAATTTAGTATAGGATTTCAGAACAACTGCACGCCGGCCCTAAACTCTAAGCCCAAGGCCCTACACCCTACACCCTAAACCCTAAACCCTAAACCCTAAACCCAAAACCCTAAACGGTCCGGCCTGCATCATCCAACTGGCTGCTGACCAGGCTGATGCCCGCACCAACAAGGTACCTGCTCCACAAGGCCATAGGCCTTAGGGTTTAGGGTTTAGGGTTTAGGGTTTAGGGTTAGGGTTTAGGGTTTCGGGTTTCGTGTTTAGGGTTTAGGGTTTAGGGTTTAGGGTTTAGGGTTTAGGGTTTAGGGTTTAGGGTTTAGGGTTTAGGGTTTAGGGTTTAGGGTTTAGGGTACTTTTAACCCAATTATAACTGTACTTATAACCACTGATAAGACTTTAAGTGTCCGAATATGAGTATACTTGGGTTTTGAGTACAGATATAAATGGGATATTAAGTACCCTGAACCTCCAAGTAGGGTTTAGGGTTTAGGGTTTACCCTTAAAACCGCTCCAAGCCACGAGATTTGGGGGTTTGGGGGGGTTGGTCGGGGTTCAGGCCTTGGGTTTGGGTTGTAACGTTTAGGTGCGCTGCCAGAGAAGGGTTTAGGGTTTAGGGTTTAGGGTTTAGGGTTTAGGGTTTAGGGTTTAGGGTTTAGGGTTTAGGGTTTAGGGTTTAGGGTTTAGGCAGAATGAAGGTTCTGGAAGGAAGCTCCTGAGTCGGATTGCGCGAAGTGCTTCCCAGACAGGAGTTCAGCCCAAAAAACCGTAAGCCCTGACCCCTAAACCCTAAAACCTACAACCCGACACCCCTAACACACTCAAACCCAAAACCGACCCCTCAGACCCTAAGACACTAAGACCCTAAGACCCTAGGACTGTAGGACCCAAAACCCTGAACCTTAAACCCCAAACCCCAAACCCCAAACCCCAAACCCCAAACCCTAAACCCTAAACCCTAAACCCTAAACCCTAAACCCTAAACCAACCCTAAACCTAACGACCCCGAGATTCGGCATCACGGGCAGCGCCTGCCGAATTCAGGGTGACCGTGGTGGGCAGCAGTCCTGTCAAGGAAAAGGATTCCCAGAGACCCCAAGATCCCCAAAACCCTGAACCCTAAGCCCGAAACCCTAAACCCTAAACCCTAAACCCTAAACCCTAAACCCTAAACCCTGAACTCAACTTCAGATAGGGCATAGGGGGGACTCAGGGTTTGGGGTTTAGGGTAAGGTTTAAGGATAAGGCTTGATAGCTGACTACGTCTAAACCACCACGAGTCCTAGCCATCCCTGGACCCGACACCCCAAACCTACCCTAAACCCTAAACCCTAAACCCTAAACCCCTAAACCCTAAACCCTAAACCCTAAACCCTAAACCCTAAACCCTAAACCCTAAACCCGCCTTTGGGGCGGAGGTGCTCGAAGAGGGACAACCCAGACCTGCCGATCCGGGGATGGCAGAGCTGAGGTTTGGGGTGCAGAGCTGAGGTTTGGGGTGTACGGTTTAGGGTTTAGGGTTCAGGGGTCAGGGTTTAGGGTTTAGGTTTTGGGTTTAGGGTTTAGGGTTTAGGGTTTGGGGTTTGGGGTTTGGGGCTTCTAGGGTTAAGGGTTTAGGGTTGCTTTTCTAGGCTTCCTAGGGTGTCTAGAGTTTCTTTTTTCGGTCAACAGAGGAGTGAGCTAAAAGGGTACGACAGCTCCGTCAATATCCCAAAGCCCCAAAGACCTACAATTTGGAGTCCCTTGAAGCCCTAAACCCCTCACCCGCAACCCCTAAACCTTAAACCCTAAACCCTAAACCCTAAACCCGAAACCCGAAACCCGAAACCCTAAACCCTAAACCCCAAGCCCTACATCCGAAACCCGAAAAACCGAAACCTTAACCAGGAAACCCTACTTCACTTGACTCAAGTTGCAGCTGGACCTGGGTTGGGGGGGAAGTTGGCCCGTATAAGCCCTCAAAGCCAGGGTTTAAGGTTTAGGGTTTAGGGTTTTAGGGGTTTGAAAATCTAGGGTTTAAAGTTGTGCCTAGCACTGCTGGAACCTCCAAACCCTGAACCCTGAACCCTGAACCCTAAACCCTGAACCCTAAACCCTAAACCCCCAAAACAACCTTCCCTCAGGGGCACCAGCCTCCACCCCAAGCCGACGCCAGACGCGGTTAGGGCGGCATTCTCGCCCACGACGCTGCGGCGCAGCTGCGCCTCTTTGAGTCTTTGCGGGGACTTTTGGGCTTGGTGATTTTGGAATTTAGGGTTTAGGGTTTAGGGTTTAGGGTTAGGGTGCTGAGGTTTTGGGGGTTTGGGGGGCTCTAGGGCAACTCAAGGCCACCGAGTAGGAACCCTAAACCCTCAGCCCTCAGCCCTCCGCCCTAAGCCCTAAACCCTAAGCCCTAAACTTTAAACCCTAAACCCTAAACCCTAAACCCTAAACCCTAAACCCTAAACCCTAAACCCTAAACCCTAAACCCTAAACCCTAAACCCTAAACCCTAAACCCAATCGGTTCGGCGGCCCTTTCGACCCGAACTGGTTGAGAGCAAGCCCCAGGCCTTCTAGATGTGGGCTTAAGGCTCATAAGGGGGGCCGTAGGGGGGGGGGGCCTTAGAACTCTTAGGAACCCTAAACCCTAAATCCTGAACCCTAAACCCTAAACCCCAAACCCTAAACCCTAAACCCTAAACCCTAAACCCCAAACCCTAAACCCCAAACCCTAAACCCTAAACCCTAAACCCCAAACCCTAACCCTGGGGGTTTCAGTGGGCTTAGGGGACCCAGCGCCCCAAATCACCTCAGCCGCCGCAAGCAGGATGTCCAGCGCGGAGCGCCAGTCCGCACCACTGGCGACGGTGTTGAAGCTCACCTTGGGTTTAGGGTTTAGGGTTTAGGGTTTAGGGTTTAGGGTTTAGGGTTTAGGTTTGGGCTTTTCCGAGAATAGGGGTACCTGTATTGGGGGGGGGGGGGCATTCTATTCTATTTGGGGTATAAAAGGGGTACTCCTCTTTTGGGAAATACCCACCTTGGGTTTTGGGTTGAGGGTTTAGGGTTTAGGGTTCAGGGCTTAGGGTTTAGGTTCAGGGTTTAGGGTTGAGGGTTTAGGGTTCAGGGTTCAGGGTTTAGGGTTGAGGGGCGGGGGGTGAGGGTTGAGGGTTTAGGTTTGAAGGTTTAGAGCTTAGGGTTTCAGAGTGTGGGGGCGCTTTCGGTTGTAACGCTTAGGGTTGGGGTCTCAAGGTTGAGGGTTTAGGCTTCAGGGGAGAGGGTCTTGGGTTTTAGGTTTGAAGCTAGCGCTTCAATCCGGCTTAGGGTTTAGGATCTAAGGCGCTTCGGGTTTAGGGTGTAGGGTTTAGGGTTTAGGGTTTTAGGGTTTTAGGGTTTTAGGGTTTTAGGGTTTTAGGGTTTTAGGGTTTTAGGGTTTTAGGGTTTTAGGGTTTTAGGGTTTTAGGGTTTTAGGGTTTTAGGGTTTTAGGGGCTCGGACACGAAAACGATCGCTGTTGCGGTCGGAGGCTTGGCAAGTCCCGAGGCTTGGGGACCATGCTGCTGTTAGGGTGAGGATCGGATGCTACAACGACTAGACCCAAGAGTACCGCCCCTTGTTGGCTTCCAGGGGCTTAGAAGGGAGCCTAGACAAAAAGTTCCTAGCCCTAGACCCTACCTAGACCCTATAGACCCTAGACCCTAAACCCTAAACCCCTAAAGCCTAAACCCTAATCCCTATGCTACAATGAGGAACTTGGCTTGGCACTCCAAGGTGGTCACCTCTAGGGAAATCACAAGTTTCTGCCAGGACATGGTTCCTCTAGGGGTTGTACCTTGGACCTTAAGGTTGTAGTTGTGGAGACCCTTTTTGGAGATCCCTACGGCATATTCGGAGTATGTTAAGAGGAACCCTAAACCCTAAACCCTAAACCCCTACAACCTGAGGGGTAGGCTGAGACATAAACTTTAAACTTTGAGGTGAGCACTGCGCCCCCTGTAACATGAGAATGCACAGGGCGGTTTAGGGTTCAGGGTTCAGGGTTCAGGGTTCAGGGTTTAGGGCCTTAGGGTTTAGCTTGTAGGGTTCAGGGTTCAGGGTTCAGGGTTCAGGGTTTAGGGTTTAGGGTTTAAGGTTTAGGGTTTAAGGTTTAGGGGCTCCCTGTTGGCTTTGGGCCCCAGAGCTTAGGGTTTAGGGCTTAGGGCTCCCTGTTGGCTTTGGGCCCCAGAGCTTAACCTTTCACAAACCCTACAACCTCAGCACCTCTCCCCTAAACCCTCAGCCCTAACCCTAAACCCCAAACCCTAAACCCCAAACCCCCTTCCCTCGACATTCTTTTTCCCGGCGAAAGAGGGCCATAGCTGCCGAGGCCGACCCTTTTGCGGCGTTTCCGGTGCGCTTGGCGCGCCCGCTTGGGGCGCGCCGGCTGCTTCCACCGGCCTGTCTGCATGCGCCCGTCGAACACCTCGGATTTCCCAGCGAGAAAAACAGAAAGTGTGGTTGGGGGCTTTCCTGGGAATTTGTTTTGGGGTTCTCTTGTTGTTTGCTTGGGTTTATAGGTGTTAGGGTTTAGAGGGTTTGGGGGTTTAGAGGGTTTGGCGGTTTGGGCGTCGACTAGCCCCTGAAAAGACAAAGCTGACTCAATGGGGGTCCCGACACGGCTTTCAGGGCGCTTTGAGGCAACTTCGGCCGTCGGTCGTAGAGAAGCAGGCCGTTCTTCTCATGTTCCACGTCATACCTTGATGGAGGCTTAAGGTTTGGGGTCCCTAAACCTAAAACCTAAAACCTGAAACCTAAAACCTAAACCCTAAACCCTAAACCCTAAACCCCAAACCCTAAACCCTATAAAAAAGCTCTGCTCACAGAGATGGTCTCGTGCCCTCGAAGACAGCCGAGGTGCAGCTGGGTGAGGCAGAAGCCCGCAAAAACCTGGGACCCTAAACCCTAAACCCGAAACCCTAAACCCTAAACCCCAAACCCTAAGCCCTAAACCCTAAACCCTAAACCCTGGCAGGAAAGAGAAAAGAGGGCTAAGCTTTGAGGGGGTTACGTGCCTAGGGTTCCGTGTTTAAGCCGCCGAAAACGCCGAAACCTCGTCAGAATCCCTACACCCATCTAAGCCCATTGTTTGGGGTTTAGGGTTTACGGCCTGGGGAACGTCGAAACCTCAAAACCTCAAAACCCGTCATCTCCCAAACCCCAAAACCCTAAACCCCTAGCCCCTAAACCGTAAATCCCCACACCCCAAAAACCCCTAACCCCCCTGAACCCCTAGATCCCCTGAACCCCTAGATCCCCTAAACCCTAAACCCCAAACCCCAAACCCTAAACGTTTAAAATCCTACATTCCCAAAAGGGGCAAGGAGCCGGCCGCTTGTAGATCTCGGCAGTGAGGCCGGCGATCCTTTGAACCGCCTCCGGTCTGCTTCGGACCGCCTCCTCATAGGACGTCTGGGTTTAGGGTTTAGGGTTTAGGGTTCAGGGTTCAGGGTTCAGGGTTTAGTGTTTAGGGTTTAGGGTTGAGGGTTTAGGGCCTCATGAAAAGGGCACTTTTTGGAGGCACTTCGAGGGTGTTAGGGTTTAGCGGTTTGGGTTAGGGCTTCGGGTTTGGGGTTTAGGGTTCCTTCATGATGTAAGGTACATTCCTTTGTGCAGGGGTACTGGGAAGGGGGTTCCTTCTAATCCCCTTAAGACCAGAAAGGGTACCCTTTCCATTCCTAGGTTCTCCTGGGTCTAGTTGTTACCAGCGCATGCTAGGGTCAACGTCAACTGTTGCGGGGCAGGAGATGGGGGTCCGGGTGCGATTAGTTCTGGCTGTCGTGTCGGATTCATTCGTACAGGTACCCTCAACCCTAAACCTAAACCCTGAACCCTGAACCCTGAATCCTGAACCCTGAACCCTGAACCCTAAACCCTATCATGGGGGTTCGGACTTTGGGCCAGGACCGCGAAGGAAAGATCACGCCCGGTCTGTGGGAACATCTCACTGATGCCAGCAAGCAGCTGACGGTCTGACAGAAGGTCGCCGTGTCATTCAGCCTTGTCTCTTCCTCTCTAGCTAGCAGTGCTGGGAAGGCCTCGTAGTCCAGCTACATAGGGAAGAATCCATCTCCCACATCCGAAGAAATGTCGGCCTGCTCGACCCAATGCTGTGCGTCGTTGAATTCCACGAGGACACGGCTTTCTGTCTGCTTGCCACAAAGCACCACCATGCCCCTAAACCCCTAAACCCTAATCATGTGAAGGAGTGAGGGTTTAGGGTTCATATGATGTAAGGTATATATATATATATATATATTCCTTAATGGAGGGGTACTGGGCTCTTTGGGTTTATAGAGTTTGGGGGGGGGGGGGGGTTAAAGAATCCCAAACCATGAACCCCCAATCTTGTGAAGTAGTTCTTCGTGCTACGGTCCAACCCTAAAAACCCTTAAAAACCCCTAAAAACCCCTAAAAACCCTTAAAACCCCCTACCCCCTCACCACCCTAACAACCTTAAAAACCCTAATAAAAAACCCAACAAAAACCTAAGAAAACGAATGACACCCTGATAAAAACCTAATAAAAACCCTGGACACATAAGGAGCCCCAGGCTTCCCAAGTGAAGGGGATGATAAGTAGGATTCAGCCCCAAGCATAACTTTGAAAGCATATGAAGCAGGGTTTATATTTCTTGTAGCCCCAAAAGGACACCCAATACATACACTCACCAATATTACAAAGGAACCTTATATACACTCACCAAGAACAGAAATATAAACCCTGCTTCATATAATACAATGACCCCTTAGTAATGTCTCACCCTAAACCCCAAACCCCAAACCCCAAACCCTAAACCCTAAACCCTAAACCCCCAAACCCCAAACCCCAAAACCCTAGACCCTGAACCTCCAAGTCTGACTGGCCAGGGTATGGGTGAGTATTTCGGATCCGGGTTAGGGTTTGGGGTTTGGGGTTTGGGGTTTGGGGTTTGGGGTTTGGGGTTTGGGGTTTGGGGTTTGGGGTTTGGGGTTTGAGGTTTGGGGTTTGGCGTTTGGGGTTTGGGGTTTGGGGTTTGGGGTTTGGGGTTTGGGGTCTGGGGTTTGGGGTTTGGGGTTTGGGGTTTAGATTTTAGGGATCCAGTCAAGTGAAAGACCCCGTGGGAGATTGAGGAGGGAAGATTGGCAGCTGAAGTGGCCCTTGAGAACGCTTCAGACCTCACCGGCTTGAACTCCAAACACACAAGCCCAAAAAAACCTAAACCCAAAACCTTCGACCCTAAACCTTAAACCCAAACACCCCAAAACCCAAAACCCTGAAGCCGAAGAGGCTTTGCGTTGGGCTGAGAAATTGGGGTTTATAAGGGCTGTTCTGGTCTTTGTCAGCCGGGGCTGAAGACCCTACTTTGGGGTGCTTTCGTTTCTGCAGCGTAATGCGGGACTGGCTGAACAAAGGCGGTCAGGCGTTCAGGGCTTGGGGCTTTAGGGTTTTAGGGGTTAGGGTTTAGGGGCTAGGGTTTAGGGGCTTTAGGGTTTTAGAAGCTAGGGGCTTTAGGGTTTTAGGGTCTAGGGTTTAGGGGCTTTAGGGTTTTAGGGGCTAGGGTTTAGGGGCTTTAGGGTTTTAGGGATTTAGTGGTTTCTTTTGGGACTGGGGGCTTCAGGGGTTTCGGGTTTTGCGGGACTTGGGGCTTTGGCCGCTTTACGCTTTACGACACTCCTAACCCCCAACCCCTAACTCCTAACCCTAAACCCTAAACCCTAAACCCTAAACCTTAAACCCTAAACCCTAACCCCTAAACCCTAAACCCTAAACCCTAAACCCTAAACCCTAAACCTAAAACCTAAAACCTAAACCCTAAACCCTAAACCCTAAACCCTAAACCCTAAACCCTAAACCTAACCCTACACCACAAGTTGTTGTTGTTCGTGACGACCCCCGTGCTCCTCACGGCCCAAATAGCCGGGCAGGAACTTCCTCAACTGCTCGACGGTTTGGGTTTATGGTTTCGGGTTTAGGGTTTAAGGTGCAGGGTCATTCCAATATATATATATATATATATATATATACGTATGTATTTCCTTGCTTTTTGTATGGCCACATACTCTTTACATATATACATACCTACTACACTGCACCTTTTATACTAGGAAGTGCAGTGTCTACAGCCACACACATATCTACATGGTAGTTCAAACCTTCCTATTCCCGAACCCTAATTACACCCCAAACCCTAAACCCTGAACCCCAGGTACACCTTAGGGCTATCTAGGGCACAAAAAGACAAACAAGAAGTGCCAACCCAGCACGAGGTTCGGCAAGTTGAAACCGAAAGGTCCCGCGAGGTCCAGCCCCACCCCGGCGTATTCCTTACTGGCTGGGCTTAGGGTTTAGGGTTTAGGGTTTAGGGTTTAGGGTTTAGGGTTCAGGGTTCAGGGTTCAAGGTTCAGGGTTCAGGGTTCAGGGTTCAGGGTTCAGGGTTCAGGGTTTAGGGTTTAGGGTTTAGGGTTTAGGGTTTAGGGCTTAGGGTTTAGGGCTTA